TTGACAGAACCTCTTAAAATTCATGTGGGTCTCAGACTCTTCCTCCTTCTCCCTCAGCTTGCTGTGTGCTGGGATTAAAAGTCCTAACTGATTGTGGTCACTTCCTGCAGAACATCTCCACTGTAACCCTCTACGTCTGCCTGTATGTTCCCAGTCACCACAGACCAGGACTTAATGCACAATAAACCTGGTGACTTCCTCAGCCAATTCTTTCACTTGCTGGACTCTGAGGCGGTTGGTCTTTTTCTCTGAGTTTCTTCTTGGTTCTCCTTTTCTTTATCAGCCTGACCAACTCATCACCAGTTTCCTAGCCTGCCTGGGAGATGCTTTGTGAATGTTGTATGAACTTTAACTAGGGATACAACAACAATGCCTACACATGATACATGAGACACCAGTGATAGAAACAAGAACAAGACTCCACACAAAACTAGCTGGTGAAGCAATGAGTTTTATTAGGGTTCCTTAAAAGTGTGTTGTCAATATTTGGGCTTTTTGGTATTCAGTTTTTGTTTTTTGTTTGCTGAGACAGGTTCTCACTATGTAGCTCTGGCTGTCCTGGAACTCACTATGTAGACCAGACTAGATCCACCAACCAGTCTCACACCCAACTGTTGAAAACAGGGTGCTCCACTATGCCCAGCAATTTTGGAAACTTCTCAGTGGTTATATCCCTGAAAAAATGCTTTGCCTACAACTTTTAACTGCCAATATTTCTGATGGGGGAGGTAGTGGCCTTAGTAGCATCTACACCATGAAGGAATATTGATGGAGCCAAACTTGTGCAGGTGACCTGTGTGTAATCACAGCTACAGAGACTCACAGGACAAGAGTACTGCCATGCCTGGAGAGCACTGTTCTACAACAAGGGGAGATGCAGGCTGATGCTTCTGGGATCAAACAGAACAGAAGGGACACAAGAGCACCTGATTCTTCAGAGCTCCTGGATGAACACACGGGAGAAATCCATGGAAACGGAGAAGGAAATGTGGTTTTCTCATGGCTCTGATTTGAGTCTATGCTAAATAATTCCTGATAGATTCATGTCATTTTCTTACCAACATACATGATTCCCATAGGAACAACCTCTCATCTGTCTTTTATCTTAAGTGTTCTTATTTTATTGTTCAGAATCCTTCTAGTTTTTGTGAAGGCTGAATTTAAATTTATGCCTGTTCATCCACAAATGTTCATTCCAAGTTAAATGGTGTTGGCATCTCAACTATGATCATCAGCACCATCCTGATTGTCTAATATCACCATTAGTTTCACCATTCTTATGGGTTCAGGAGTTCTTGTGACTTTGATGTTTAAGGAATGATTAACTTTCACACTTTTACAATGTAATTTAGGTATAAGAGTGTTTTGGTCATGTAAATGTTATAGTTAAAGGGACCCTCTCTGCTCTCCTGTTTTGGAGATGGTTACTATATTAATTTTAAACTGTGAAGGTCATCAAAATCATGAATTGAAAAGCAGAAGTGAAAACTAAAGTTCCCAAGATGTGGAAGGTTCCGTGTTCAAGAAAAGAGGCTATTGAAACAGGGGGAGGGGCTTGCTCCTGCCTCAACTTGATATGCCAGATTTTATTAACTCCACATGTGAGATCTTACCCTCTCTTGCAAGTGGATGGGGGTGGGCTGGGGGGGAAGATGAGGGGTTAGTGGGAGGAAGGGAGGAAGGGGGAACTGTGTTTGGTAGGGAAAATGAAAAAAACTTTTAAACAAAAAAAATTAAAAATTTTGGCAACAGGGAAAAAAGAAAAGAGGCTGACATTGATCAGTCCCTGAACCTACCCTTCTTAAGGATCATTGTAGTGAGACTTTCTCCTCTGTGGAGTTCGAGGTAGGGTCAAGGGCTCTAAGAGAATGTTGGTAGCTGTGTATGCTCTGTGCTCTATCTGCAGATAGGCACTGCAATAGCTCACATTACTGTCTGGTGCCCACTGTGACACTAAAATAGATTAATTCCTACTTTTATCCACACCTATATTGTCTCATGTGTAGGTATCACTTCTGTGGTAGGATATTTGTACACTGTGTGGAAAGATTTTTCTGTGATTGGGATAATGAAAAGCTGAATGGCCAATAGCTAGGCAGGGGGTATAGATGGAACATCTGGGCAGAGAGAGAACTCTGGGAAGAAGAAAGGCATAGTCACAGCCAGACAACAGACACATGGAACAAATTGGAGCTGCAAGGTGGAAGAGAAGTTACAACATTATAGCTAGGTAGGAGAGATAGGCAGGATTTCCAGGGAGAGAAAAGAAGCGGAGGAGGAATCTAAGTATACAGATTATGCCAGAGAGAATCCAGGAGACTCAGAACAGGTCAAAGCCACAAAATGCAAAAGA